CCAAATCTTCGACGGAACATAATTCTGATTTTTCACTTTCCAAAACGAAGATGAATTTTGTAAATTTCTATTTAACCCCAAATTTTTTTCTAAGAAAACAATCAGTGTAGAAATTTTAATTTGAGAACCACCTGTTTCAAATTCTAAAAATCCATGTAACAGATGCTAAAATGAACATTACGTAGGAGGTAACGACGTGTAATTCGAACGGTTACTGACGTTTCGGACGAACATACCGCCGTATTTTTAGGATCAAAGGGTAAACCAAGCAAGAAAACAGAACGAAAGTGTGGCAAACAGAACAAGCTTAACTTGACGCCTACTTCTGCAGGTCTCATGCCTGACTTTCGGCCCTGTGGATGGAGACAATATATTCCTCGGAAACTTAAGGCTCACTTCGAACTATATGTCATTACAATCAAAAAGAAAGTAATTTTCACAGTCACCGCCGTGAGTACCTCTAATATAAACGTAATGTGTACGTGTTCAGTTCAAACCCCATAGTATACAAACCGTAATTTCCGTGACCAAGAGCAACCAGTATGCTCTTTAGGAAAGTAGACACTGTTTGTTATGAGAACCATGCAAAACGTAAATACACTGTGCGTTCAAAATGAGGGGTTTCTCTATTAACTTACTTTCCTTGGTTTAAAAACAAATGACGGGACGCTCATGAGATCTCTTCGGTGTCTGTGTGTTCTCCTGAACGCCTAAAAGCCGGAATAATGGACCCCGAAGAGATGCCCGTTACTAGTCAACGGCTCGGTAAACACATTCCCACAGCAACAACTGCAAACGCAAAAATAAGGGAACCGTTGGACGCTGCGTTTTCTATGGGGTCCATATCGTTACAAATACTCAATATTTAGTGAAAGGAAAGTAGGCGAAATTAGCTTCACTGCTGTAAAAACTACTAAAATAATATTTTATAAATTATTCATCAACACTAGATACGACCTAAAAGCTTGTGACGGTGGTATATTAGTACAAATATTATGTTTCTGGACATTATCCATTATCCTATTCTTATCTAAAACAGTCCTCTTTAATTCAAAAGAAGAACGTTTCGGAGACTGGATTCTTTTTCCGTCTTCAGGTAAAACCTACTCGGTTGGGCCGGAGATAAATATTAGCTCTATCAATTGAGCCCAACTGAGTAGGTTTACCTGAAGATGGAGACAGAATCCAGTCTCCGAAACGTCGTGTTTTCAAATTAAGCAGGGCAATTGTTTAGATAAAAATAGGACGATGATAATTTCCAAAAACACAGTATTTGCATTACTTCAACATTAATTTATAAAACCAAAATCCCGCGGCCCCTGTGTCAAGCCACTGCTTCTACCCGTCCAAACGTTTCCATGTTCACACTGTCCTCATAAAAAGAATATGTGGGCAAATCCTGGCAAGTTTCTATGAAAATGATGCTGCCTGCCCCTCCCCACAATAAAGGAAATTTGGCGATTAATTCTTCCCTTAACTTTTTGTTCATTTTCATTCCACATTGTTTAAAGCAGGCCTAAATATACTAAAGCCACCCCTGTACTTCAGCCATAGAAATGTTTGTTTTAGTTCCTACGGTTACAAGCGGCCACTCTGTGTTTTTAGGATCTCTCTTCCATTCAAAGTAATAATGGAGAACAAGCAAATGCAAGGATATTTCCTCGATCAGGTCACGACCGCTTCTTTTGTAATTTTTTTCAAGCAATCATTAATGTAGCACCCCGCTAGTAGACGCTATATGGTGTAGCTACTTACAGCATCGCTTAATAGCTCACAAAGAAGTCCAAATGTAGAGAGATATTCATCGTACAGATGTTCCTTCTTTCTGTAGTTCATAAAAAGTGTCAACAGATTTCGTATGTAGTCACATAGGCCTATAGAAACATGTATAATATCGAAATTTCCGACATTTTATACTTTAAGACTGAAAAGTTCAATTTGTATCGCATTGAGAACCCAAAGAGCAGTTTCCTGTAAGCTTTTCATATTCTTTAGAAGTACATTTCCGACTTTTGAGGGTATGATGCAAGGACCGTGGCTCCCAGAGCATCCATTTGCTGAGAAAATATGGTGAAGTTGCTGCAACTGGCGGGGAAACTAAATAATTGGGCACTCAAGACGAAACAAAACGTCTGTAGCAGTGAAGAAAAGAAATTCCACACCTCTTATGGGTGTCACTGCGTCCTGCTGATTTACTGGAGACGCCCTGAGTGTTGGGGAGGAGTGAGGGTGATATAAATCACCGGATGGTGAAGTGGAGCAGCCCTCTGACCCGGACTGCCACCCCCCATCACCACCGCTCTTCCATGCCTCCTGCCGTCTCAATTTCGCAGGGTCTAGAGCGCAGTTTCTAGGAATGGATTCGCTCGTAACGTCTAGTCACTTTAAACTGCAGGTGGAAAGTGAAGTTGGCATAGCCGGACCTGGGCACGATTTTCCCAGAAAGTCATAACGACCCGAACTTATTTTCAAATGAGAGCTCATAACAGCCTGTCAGATGCTGCGCTCTGTTTCGCTGAAACTTTTAGCTCTGATATCTGAGTGTTACTGGCTCTGTATTTTGTTCTGGAAAACCAAAATTTAAAACTATGCAGCATCATTTAACACATAAGAGTTACGGATTTCTGGGATGTGACGCCATGTAGTTTGATGTGTATCGATGTTTCGGAGGAAACCCCAATTACCTTCATCAGTTGGGGTTCAGCTACTCCCAATATATTGGTAGTATTTTATCAAACTGCATGACGTCACATCTAAGCAATGTGTGTTGTTATTATTCAGAGCAGACTGTGAGAATCTGAAAACTCGCTGAACAAGATACCGCGTTATGTGTAGATTCATTCAATAACCGGCATGGCGGAAAGCAAGGAACTTGCGATTTTGTTCTTTTCAGGCGTGAAACACATTTCCATACGTCATCCTGTTGTGGGAAATAGAGGCACTGCCGGTCCATACAACGGATAAGTGATATTGTGAATGAACAACACACACATTATTACACTGAACTGTTATTCACAACAATATATATATATATATTGTTGTGAATAACAGTTCAGTGTAATAATATAATATACTGACTGTGGATGAACTGCTTGTTTCTACTGCAATTAGTCTTCATCAGTTTCATAATATAATATAATGTTCCACCCACGTTGTACAATGTCAATTCCATATTCGGCTTATTTGTTAATCAGTTTTCTAATATTCCCTGTCCTAAAGCTATCCGTGCAATAGGCCGTGGAGGCCCATAGTGTTGTGAGACGTCGAGGCTGTCACATTTTTCTAGACAAACGGCTCACAGACGCCTTACTCACCGGCGGCCATTTATCCCGAGGAAAATTGCTGGTTATTTCTGTTAGGGACTGAGTCAACTCCAGGACCATAGTGCAGCTGGAAGGATTAGGTCAATTGACAAAATCCACCTAACCGGGACTCGAACATGTTACCTTCCGGCTTATAGCCTAGTGTCTCAACCAACTATGCTACCGCTGAAATCAGGCGTTAAATCTTTTCGTTACTCTGCTGGGACCTCCTCTGAGGACCACTCAATCTGTTGTTAATCATTTATCATCATTAATTTTACTTTTAAAAGTCGGTTAAGTGAACGAGATGATTAAACTGCTTCAAAGTGAGTTATTTTCATGAACTGGAAGAAAAACGTATTTCCTGTTTGCCACTTCTGAACCAAAATGTAAAACAGATTTGTAGTGAGCTAATAAAAAATGTAAAGCTATCCCTGTAACAGACCGTGGAAGCCCATAGGGTTGTGAGACGTCGAGGCTCCTATATTTTCTTCAAAATCGGCACACAGATGGCGGTGAAGTTGTCATCATTATGCGCCGGCAGGCCGCTCTTAACCCCATAGGAAGATTCCTGGTACTCATTTCTGTTAGAGGCTGAGTTGACTCCAGGGCCATATTGCGGATGGAAGGATTACGTCAATTGAAAACTCCAATTACCTTATTGGAATTACCTTACCTACATGGAATGTCTTGATTCCCTTAGTATGTCAGTGGTTTGGTTAGTAAATTTTCCGTTACTTTGATACACGTATATTCCGCACTTTCACTGCTTCCAACTCCACTATTCTTGTTTCTAATGAGTTAAGCCTACGTATTGACATTTTATCACGATTAAGCATGTAACTATTCATGTTACTGTAAGATTACATGACCGAATTGTGTATTACTAACAGCCGAAGTAATGTTTATGTTATATCGACCCATGTACGTATGTGATTCCCAGGTTTGAAAATTTGTTATCCACAATTCATACAATATATTTACTTACTGGCATTTGTATAACATCTAAGTGTTACTATCATATCAGCCCATCTATATATATATGTTCGTTGCTGACGGTTCTGTAGCCGCTATTTTGCTTTACTGAAATTTCTGATGACATGTTAGTGATACTGATCAGCTCACATGTTTTTGTGTTGCTGACAGTTCAGGAGATGCTGCTATCCCTTACTGACATCTACACGTATGATATGTTAGTGACGCTGATGAACGTTTGCGTGTTGCTGACAGTTCAGTGGCTGCTACTGCGTTTAACTGACATTTCTGATGACATGTTAGTGACGCTGATCAGCCCATATACTCGTATTTGTGTGTTGCTGATAATTCATTGAATGGTGTTATGTTTTACTTACATTTCTGATGATACTTTAGTGACGCTGATCAGCCCACATGTTTGTGTGTTGTTGACAGTTCAGTGAATGCTACAATGTTTTACTGACATTTCTGATGACATGTTAGTGACGCTGATCAACTCACATGTTTGCTTGTTGCTGACAGTTCAGTGAATTCTACTGTGTTTTACTTACAGTGCTGATGAAATGTTAGTGACGCTGATCAGCCCACATGTTTGTGTGTTGTTGACAGTTCAGTGAATGCTACAATGTTTTACTGACATGTTAGTGACGCTGATCAACTCACATGTTTGCGTGTTGCTGACAGTTCAGTGGATATGACACTGCCTCTGTTGTTGTGTTCCAGCTCTGACAGATGGCCCTCGCTTCATTGAGCCAATACCTAACGTGACAGTCGCGCTAGGCCGAGACGCCTCTCTCCCCTGCGTCGTGGAGAACCTCGGCAGCTACAAGGTGAGTCCGTGCTTCTTAACCTTTGGTTATTCTCCGCCAGTAACACGAGATATATCTGTGTTCTTTCAGCCTGTCTTTATATCAGCGGTGTTTTAGCGGTGACTGACTGTCATCGAATACCCTTGGCATTCTTCCGCTGTAATGCATGTACCGTGAAATGGAAACGGCGCGAGACGCCTGACGTATTTCATTGCAGAGCAGAAATCAAAGTCGGGAATGTAACTTGAATCCGCAAACTTACTTTTCGATACATTTATAAAACTGAATATCTTTTTAAGGTTTACGAGCTAAAGATCTCTGAACCCAACTGAAGTAAGCAAAAGAACTAATTTCATGAACCACAGTCCGCCTTGAGTAGCTGTCGCCCAGCCGTCTGTGGATTTTTTACCTGTAAACAAGTCACATACTAAACCCATAGAATCAAGTCCATAACTTCCATTCCTAGTTATGTAATACCATTGTTAATATTACTCTTCCTACTGTGTCTTTCTCTCCCAAGTGGTCTCTTTCCTTCTAGATTTCCGACCAGAATCGGTTATATTTTCCCTTTTCCTTCATTAGCTTCCATAATCAGCTCCTTCGAATGAGTGGAATTTTGATAAGCATCCTGGCAGGTTCTCCATTTTTTAAATTCTTTTTCGCGTACAGTACGCTCTTCAAGCGTGTGTCACCGTATAATCTGGCTGAATTTTGCTGACGTTTCGAAATTAGTACTGCCTCCATCTTCAATGTCTAGGATTATGCCAGGCAAACGGCTGGTTTTCCTTCTTAGCTTATTATTAAACCCTGAAGATGGAGACAGTACATTTCTCCGAAACGTCGGAACGCTTCCTTGTCGCTAAAGTATCAGATACGTCAGTCTTTTATTTCAGATTATTAGTTCTACGCTTACGTAAACGAATTATCGGTTTATAGTTCATGAACGTGTAACTTATTGTCACTATTTTATTGAGTGACTATAGACGGGGTTTGAATTGGTGATTGCATTTATTGAACACTTGCAGATTGTAACTGCAAGCCACTATAGCGATATAGCTAATTCACACACTTTACAGTTCACTAGAACCCATACTAATTTTCTCAGTTTCTTTTCACTAGCCGTTTTCTGGTAACGGATGCTAACAATGTCCTCTGCTTACGTCCTTCCCGGCTGGCGAATATCTCACAACTGACTCGCAGGCTGGCAGCCATCTCACACCAACCTCCTACTCTTCTGATTTAACTCAACTAACTGCAACTCCCAACTTGTCCCGCTTATAATACCTCGGCACAGACCTCACAGAAAAGACCGTTCCTCGTTGTTGTAGTTCATCTTTTGCCTTGGGAATATGTCTGTTTTCGAAGCTTTTACTTCAGTAAGAGCATTTGTATTATTGCATATATCGCAGTCGTTGCCCAGCAACGGCACTACATGCTGCAATATGAACATCTGACGAACTGTTAATTTAGCATAGACAGGCGTAAGTTTCGCATTCTGAAGGTCAAAGGTTCGAACTCACCGTTGCTCCAAAGAGTATTATTTTTAAATAGAAAGTTCATCTTCTTCCAGACACAGTTATTTACATGTCGCTAAGTACTGAGTTCGAATCTTTGCAGAGTTACCTACTATACTTCCTGAAAATTTCCCCCAGATTTTCCAGTCCAGGTAAATTCTCGGATACTTTATAGGCTACTACCGTCCCATAAATCCTTTTACGTTTATTACACATGGTAATCTTATTATTAAAGCGGCCTCCGTAGTCTAAGGGTAACGTTCCCACCTCATGACTCAAGGTACGCGGGTTCAAACCCGGCGGAGGTCGTGGAATTTTTAAGGGCGGAAAAATTCAGGGAACAAGTCCTCCGGGAGGGACTTTAAGCCGTGGGTTCCGTGTCGTAGATTTACGGCACGTAAAAGAACCTCATGTCTCTAGGAGACCTCTGAACAAAATTATTAGGTAAAAACTTTCCCGCCCAAGTAGTTTCCAATGCCTCTGGTAGATGGGGGGAAGTATCAAGGTACCGAGGGCCGGCCTCGTTGGCTTAACGGGGCTGATAGAACGTACCGTCTACCGGTAGGGTATGGGGACAGTAGAAATTAAAGGGGGACGCACAATGGACCAATAACTGGTTTAAGTGCATGGGGAAACCCACCCCCTCCAATAATAATAATAATCTTATTATTAGATACTATTAGCCTCTGAGACATTAAATAACACTGAATCAATCTCGGTAACCAGGCGGTCGAAATTTATTCTGGAAGTACTGGTTCGTATACCGACTGATGCAACTGCTTTGATGCTCAGTTAAGTTAAATAGAATTCAGTAATATTGACTCATAATAGGCCACGACAATTTCGATTAATTTCATTTTATTTCTACTTAGATATCCATAATTGTCATGCCTCAAAATCTGTGGAATTGATACGACTCGTTCATGGAACAAATGTGCTAATCTTTTGTCAATTTCAAAGAACGAATGGAATGGGTACAGCCTTGTATCGCGCCCCACAGACTAGGAACCACTACCCTCAATGAATCTGCAGCCTTCATCTACAGAGCAAAATGAAACTGAGTGTCAGTTACCCCCCTACAACCCTGTGCCATCTGCCCCTGACCGCAGGGCTATTGTCAAACAATTGACTGTTCATTGGGGTGTTAAAGGGGGGATTCTCCGTGTTGAACGCAGTTAGGGATCCCGACACCACAGACTTGGGGCGCTTCAGTCGTCGTCCGACCACAGCAGTATCAGATATGAACAGCACTGCCGTCTGAGATGTGGCACCGTGCAGTCCGGGAAAGGCGTATGGACATTTCGAAGGAAAGTGTTGATTCTATCATCAAAACGGAAAGTAAGCCAGCTGTATATTTAGTCTCCTTGGCTCGTTCTTAGACCCGTGGGGTTTGAAGCAGAGAGCTTCTGAAAAACGTTGTTGGTTACCTACAAAACTACACGGTGTCACAACCGAGACACACAATGTGTTCACTGAGATGGTTTAGTCAGAATAATATAACCATGAAGGGTTTGCAGTAGGCCGGCCGTAACAGAGTGTGGTAAAATATTTTATTTTCCTCAGTTCGTGTAGTCTCCGAAGCATAGTTGTAACTCTTCGTATCATCTGATTTAAAATTTTTGTGTTATGGGTCTCACACCAAACAGGGAATTTTCCTTAAAAAACACTAAAAAAAACTTCTTGGCTTTTAGTTCGCAAGCAACTATACCGACTGAGAGACCGCCGCTTATCGGCGAAGTTAGTGCCAAATTTAGCGGATAGAGGGTGTCGCATGGTCAGCGCAACGGATCCCCACGGCCGTTTCTCTGGGTTTTCTAGACCGAAGACGCTATTTCCTTGAAATAGCTTCTCATTTATCCTAACGAGGCTTAGCGAACCCCGTTCCAGACCCACTACTTCTCAGAAAATCTGGTAGCGCCAGGAATCGAACTCGGAAACTCTGGATCTGTATCCAAGATTTTTAACCAATAGATCATAGAGTCGGTCAGTTTTTTCTTAAAATGTTAAAAAAGTAAAACGATCCCTGTAAGAGGCCGTCGACGCCACATAGAAATGTGAGACGTCGAGGCCTTAACATTTCTACCCCCAGGAATATTCCTGGTACTCATTTCTCTTAGAGGCTGAGTCAACCTCAGGGTGCTGGAAGGATTAGGTCAATTTAAAAATTCAGTAATCTCATCGGAAATCGAACCCGCGACCTTTGCTTAATATCATTAACCGCTTGATGTCTGTAACGTTCGTGTAAAGCGTGTTTCCTGTGATATAGTGGCTGGATTTGTAAACAGACTCGATTGCGCAGGCGAACCTCTTACTTCAGAGGATTCAATGCCATGAAAAGTTTCCTGTAGCTTACTAACATGTCGTAAGCACAGTGTTTAGTATATATACCATCTTGATTATCTTTAAAATAATCTGAATTTTATCCACGCAGTGTATTTTTGTGTTTCGTACGGTTCTCACAGTAATCAACCCTTGTTCCCCTATACATCATTAACCATTTCGTCTTCGTAATGGATATACAGTGTGTTTTCTGTACGATATGAAATGAATTTATGAACAATATTTAACCGAATGCCAGGCTTCAAATATTTAAGCGTAGTTGGTATTCTCCAAACAGTACGCGTACAAAGTGTGCGGGATACAAGGCAGATCGTTATGGAGCTATGAAGTAGCGCAGTAGAGCCCCGCGGGACATGAATGAAGAGTTTCTCAGTCATTAAAACAATATTAGCGTTTGCAGCAATGAATAAGTTTGCGTGGAAGTTGGTATTCAAAGTGAATGTACTGTACCAGTCTGTGTAGATGAGGTCGTAAAGGAATTCCAGTGTACAGTGGCGCTTCCATGCGGCGCATAATGGCACCACTTCACTCACCTAATTACACTTATAAACTAATGCTGAGTGTAGAGGTCAAGGTTCATCAATTCTTCGATTAATCGCTAAATTTAACCGAATGGAAATGTAAATTAAACTCAATTTTAACGGCAAGAAGACTTTCAATTTTTCTTTTCTCTCTGGCCTACAAGCTTTTTGCATTATGATCATTATAAACAGAAGAAGAGGAGGTTTGAATTCCTCTCAAAGACAAATAGTGTCACCGCTGCTAGCCCGATCTCTCTTTCTGTGAAGCAATTTTCAAAGCATATTAAAGTACGCAGTCCCTTTGATAGTCAATATTTACTTAATTAATGGACATTCTTCATTACAATTTGATATTTGAACTGGCTTCTATCTGACGAGAGAAAATTCCTCACTGTGAAGGGTCTGAGTGAGTTCACTTGGAACAGAAAGGCCCAGATATTGAAATCAGTTACCTGGCTTCGTGTGACTGGACTAGGATTTAAATCAGACTAACTGAGAAATTAACTTGTGGGAAAGAGACACATTTGTATATTGTTTCACGACGCTGTCAGTCACCAGGATACGACAGGTGTACGCGTTATGTTGTAGGATGACTGAGAAGTTTGAAAAGATTTGAAAGGAAACATTAGTGGCGTAATCGACATAT